ACTGCAACACCCCATCAAGCTCTACAACATGCAGCTTGCATGCAATGCCGCATAATGCTCATCTGCATGATTTCAATAGCGTGTTATCACAGATGTCTCTGTGTTATTTATAGCCTCCAAGTGGAACAACACCCTGACAGGCCGGTTGCTGGGAACCTATTCCCCACCTCGAACCCAGCCTGAAAAAGAGTTTCTGAGGTGCCAGAAGATGCAAACTAATAATGTAAGTATTGGTGGCCAGAACAGAAATGGACTTATTCCATTCAAGTCACACGCAACAGCTTGAAATCGGAGAATGAACTCCAAAAGTGTTTTGCTTTTTCTTTGGCTTTTTTTTTTCTGGCAACGCCAGCACAATGAAGGCAAAGAACAAATGTGTGATGATACCAATGCAAGCAGAAATATAACTTACCGTGCTGTACTGACATACTGTCGGAAAAGGTCATACCGTTCAATACAATAGGAGCAATCCAATTAATTAAAGTCATGTGATCAAAAGTATTGTACGGTAGCATGAAAATGTCTATAATGCTTTTTGGGTGTCTTCAAAATTGAGTCAATTCACTTTATTTTAGTTTTCCTGTACATTTATGATCTCCTCTTTGTAGGAAAGTATCTTGGAAAAAGAAAAAAAAACTACTTGGAAGTCAACAAGGAACGGATTGTGTCCCACTTTGGAGGTTTTACTGTAGTCGGTTGTTATTTTCCCCTTCACTCAACAAGCTCATCACATATTACAGCGAGGTGTGCGTGTGTGTGTTGGGGGTGTCACAGCATGCACACAGGATGTTTTCACAGTGATCACTTCGGACAGGGTGATTTACATCCTCGGAGACCCTGTTGAGAAGACACACATACACACACACACACACACACACACACACACACGCAGATAAGTTCCTACCATCACATCACTTCAGAACACATTACATTGAGTTCCATTCATTTCCTGAAGCCTTAAGTCTAATCCCCACCTTAACCCAACGTGAACTCGAACTAATACCAGGGCCTTGTATGCTCCTACACGCACACGCACACACCCAAGTACTGTCCACATGGGACTTCAAAGTTCAAAAAGCGGAAGTGGCGCCTGGCAAGAAAACAAGTTGATGATCAAACTGGTTTAGCAGGCCTTATGATGATGTTTATGTAGTGAGCTCGTCCCTCCAGTGTGCTTCACATCCTCAAGACTTCCGCACAGTTCTACATGTGTTGATACTGTTGGACAAATGCTGCAGTACAATTTCCCTCATTGAAGATAAAAGCAAATGAATTCATCCCGGTTAAAATGTCACTCAAATAAAAGCCTAATTATTTACAGTTGCCCGCCATGATGGCTGCGAAATAGCGAAAACCCGCGTCTCAGTGAGGCACATTGAAATGCATAACTGTATCGCACAATAATTTTACTTAACTGGCAGAACATTTTGTAAAATATTTCATTCATCCAATTTTTTGTCGTGATTCGATTGCGTGGGTGAGCTGGAACCTTTCCCAGCTGACTTTGGGCCAGGACTGGTTGGTCGCCAGGCTATTGCTGAGATACAACATTATGTGCCCCAATTTATAGCGACCATAAAAGTCAACGGAAGGCCTAAGTCCAGCTCACCTCCGAACCTTAAGAGGACAAACGGCAGATAATGAAAGGATGTCATCGATGAGCATCAAACGGTCATTTCATTCAGTCATCTGTAAATGACTTCACTGACGTTCTCCGTCACAGTTTAGGCTATCATATCCCCTGGATCAACTCCCCTTTCTCCTCGTTGTTCTCCGGTGCAGGTGAAAAAGAACCTGGGAACAGCCGGGTTCCTCTTTTCCAAGAGCGTCTCATTGCTCACGGAACAAAGATCTTCTCTGTGCTGGAACTGGTCAGAAGAAACCCAAGCCCACGCTGTAATGGCCTAAGTGTAACAAGTGAGTAAACCGTACACGCCGGATGAGACTCCCCTTTTGCAGTTTGTACCAATCAGCAAAATTCTGTGACAGATGTGAACCTGAATTTTTTTTTTTTTAACGAAACTGTGACTTTATGCCATTGTGTGGGACCTGGTTGTCGAAAAAAAAAAAAAGAATCCCATTTTTCTAACTGACTTGACACCGCCTACGAAGCAGTGGCGTTTTCCGCCAGCGCAAATTGCCTCAGAGCGTCTCCACCATTGATGCGACTCCTCAGTCAAATGTTTGTTGTTTCACACCAGACTGCGCCGCTGAAGTCATTACCATCATCAAAATCGTTGAATTGTTGGATGATAAAAGACCAGTCGAAGTCATGGCTGGAAACTCTGTTTGATGGACAGACAAAAGTGCATCCGGGGGCCCCGACTTTCGTGTCTGTTCAGAAGCTTTCCTCGGTCCTCTTGGATGAAAAAGCAGCATCGGCAGCGCGGTCTGGAATCGCTATTTTGAAGCAGCGTTTGACCGAGCGAAATAGAAGGCAATGGACTTCCAGGGAAACGGGGACATTATGCCTAAAGCATCCATAGGAAGAAGACACTAAGACCGTCTGCCTGCAAGATACGATGCCATTTTATTTTGGCAAGTTCGCATGTTCATAAACCAGACTGGAAAGTGGCAGAGAATGAGGGATGAGGATACTTCCTTCAAGAGAGAGAGGTTTTCTCATCACCTTGGAGTTTGGCAGGAGAGCGAGAAGTTAAAAGCCAGTCTGACTCTCAGCCAATGTGTCGAAGCTCTATTCTATTCTTTCGTATGAACCCTCGCATCCCAGATCAAGTGTGTTGAAAGAAAGCAGATGTTGGGAGCCAGCCGGATTCCGAGGTTCAACAGGTGGCCAGAGACATGCCTTTGCGTTAGGGTGTGACACCACAACATACGGACCCAGAGTAAACATGTGTGGTGGTTTCCCGAAAACGGGCTCTCTTGCTTTTAAGACTTGAAGCAACCTTGTCCAGAAGCTCTTAACCGTCAGAACATCCCATCGTTAACGGGCAATCGTGCAATTGAGAGAACACCGCATGCTTTATCTACTCAAAAGACGCCAAATGTCTGAGAGGCAGCTCAGAACATCTGCCAACCTGACTCTGGCGACGGCGGAGCGGGCGTTTGAAGCTCTTTCTGTTGAAGTCATTAGCGGCTCGCTCAACGCGAACGCTCCAGCTGGATCGTACGAGTGGCGCAGGTCTGTCTCGTGGAGGCTCGGAGGGCTGCGAACTGGGCAAAACTTGAAATACCAGATATGGACCCAAAGAACATTTTTTTGTATCTTTGTGGACAACAATGACTTGTTACTGGTGACAACCCCAAAAGTCGGATTTGCATCAAGCAATACCGTACATCACGCTCTGTCCGATATGGCTTGGTTTGGTGAGCAGATGCAAAACGTGCACTCTTAACCATTTGACAACTCGTTGACAAAGACGGATCATTTCCAATTCTCCCAAGAAAGTGACAGAACTGTACACAGACTCACAGTTAATACATAAATTATGGAAGGTGCACTTCCTTCTATAAACATCATCTTGAGTGCTGGCTGAAACCGCAAACCGTTTTCCATAATAGATTGACTTAAGGGAGTCAAAAGCCAAAATTCCTGCACAGCAGCCAGACAGAGTCCACAGTTACTTGTTACTGTATGACTTATTGGACTGAATGGCAATGGTGATAGGAAACATATCAGACAATCAAGTATTTAAAATAAATTCTGTCTGGCCTACCAATAAGAGCGAGCTGTCTGTCCCTGCCAGACAAAACGATCTGACTTGGATTCTGCATTCACAATAATAAGCATCTGGTGGTATTTCATCACAAGTTACACCGCCAATTGCTGGCCTGGTATGCATACTTCAACATTATCCATCAGATTAGCAGGTTCATGGCAACATAAAGTGCATGTAAAAAAAGAAAAATTGGTACGGTCTTGTATCTACTCCATTCGTATCATCTTTAACTGATCGAAGTTGTGTGCGTTGTTTTCCGAGTCTCAGAGACTCGCGGGGACACGCATTGCTACGGCACAGAAGACGACTATAGTTTTTGATTTAACTTCGCTTCGTAACAAAAGTTGAAACAAAAGAATTGGAAAGCTTGAAACATCATGATATTTCGTCATGTTGGTGTTTGAGATGGGAACGGCTGCATATGGATGGCGGCATACGGCTGCAACCGCCGGCGCCCATGTGACCGTTCCTATCTGGTCATCAGGTAAAGTTACCTCTCTTTTTAGGTTTTAATTAAGTGTACATTCAACCCCAAAATATAACAACAAACCAGTAACATTTCATTTTCGGCAATACTTTATCATGAATGAGTCATTCTACCATCGTGTCGCTGCCTTCGTGCGCAAAAAGTTTGCAAACCAGTGCTCTAAAAAATGCCTCCCCTGTCTGCAATTGAGTCAATAAACTAGACATTATGAAATCAAAATTAAGGTTATATAAGAAACTAAATGCTGGCTTCCTAACCGGCGACTCTCTGTCAAAAGTTGTCCTAAAGAACACCCAGGGCAAGTGAAATCGGTGTGGAATGGCATCGATTTGCAAAGACTTGACTGAAGGCAAGGAAGGGCCAAGATTCGCATTCAAGCAAATTAAGGTTACAAGTCAGAAGGGCTGGAGGAGGTGGAACGGAAGCTTCTCAAGCAAAAGTGGAAATAGCAGCAGAGTAGATGAGTGGAAAGCAAAGCGCAGAGGCAAATCAAGCGGTCGTCCGGTGATCATTTTACAGGCTGAGAGGAAGTGTTCATGCAGAGGGAAAGGAGCCAGACAAATGAGTTGACTGAAGGGGCTAAGTGGGTGGTAACGCCGGCCCATTCCACCACCATGCAAGCCTTGGACATCATCGCAGGTAGATGCAAGCAAGCGCAGACAAACTGACTGACCCCCACAACACTTTGGTAGGGAATCTTACAAAAAGTTACAATGGAACCTCCAAAATGATTTGAATTACCGCAGTTGATAGCTAAAACGGTTCATACACGGACATGGTTTAACTATTCAACCCATTTGAACTAAACAAATCAGAACTCAGCAGGAAAAAAAATAAAATACATGATCCACCGCTTATCAGCAGTTTCAGCAGGGAAGCCCAGACTTCCTGCTCCCCAGCCACTTCTTCCAACTCTTCCAAGACATAATCCGAGACATAATCTCTCCAGCGTGTCCTGGCTTGTCCCTGGGGCCTCCTATCATTGCCCGAAACACCTCCTCAGGGAGGCGTCCAGGAGGCATCCCAATCAGATGACTGAGCCACTTCATCTGGCTCCTCTCAACGTGGAGGAGCTGTGGCTGGACTCTGAGTCTCGACGGAGCCTCTCACCCTATCCACGGGAGAGCCCGGACACCCCTGTGGAGGAAACTCATTTTCCATGCACTCCGAAATAAATCTTAAATTTTCTGTCATTGCTTGAGAAATTGCAGATGCTCCCACTTATTCTTGCCATGAAGGTTTCATCCGAAGACATGACAGTTACGGTCAATAAAATCCGTACTGTTTAGGCTATTAATTCATCCTAAGTGTGTCCGGATGGTTTTCTTCGGAAGTCATTGATCAGTCACATGGTTTGTTGAAGACAAATACCGCAGATTGCCTTCATCAGTCTCTGTAATAACGAGCAGGACCGCGATTGTATATTAGTAGAGAAAATAATCATATTTCCATGTGTTCATGGGAGCGCGATGGAAGCGTGACAGTTTGTTGGAGAATTCCGAGCTTGCGGAGGGAGGCGAGCGAGCGAGAGCGCAAAGGCAGATGGTGTGGCCCGGAGGTGACTCGACACATGCACAGGAAGAAGAATATGACCCAGATGCTCATTCGTTGACTAATCTCTCACACGTCACCTTTTTGCACATGGACACCGGGGACACATGCATCCACATCCCAACTCACTTCCACTTGCTGTGTGCTTTTTTTTTTTCTCCCTCCCCCTTCTTGTCACCATTGACAGCTTTGCGCATTTCTTCACTTCCTCTGAACTCTCAACAGCGTTTTTACGCAGCGAGGTCTCCTCCAGCCCTTATACAAAGGTCAAGACGAGAGGAAAGCCAATGGGGTGTGCAGGAGATGACAAAGAATGTCACGTCTCAAAATGTTGAGCCACGCTTCGCTGTGAAGCGGGTTCCAGAGATGATACTATTTTTTTTAGCAGAGTTAAATGAAGCTCCCTTACATGGCTACAGTCGGCATCGGCATAGGGGGGTAAATGGAAGGGGGCGGGGGTGGGGCGGGGCACATAGTGCTGCTCAATAACACTGGTCAGCAGCCAATTTGAATGAGAAATGGATTTATATGTCCCTCAATGTATTTTTGACGCTGATGAATAAAATATCTCGCCTTTTTTTTCCAGCACATCCGGTTTCGTCATTTATAGCTAAAACGTTTTAGAAAAAAAATTCCACCTGTTGCTCCACCGAATCTTTCATTCATAAATATTAAAACAAATGTTTCTATATTACATACAACTCTCATGAGGATAAGCATTTGGAAAAATGGATGGATGGTCAAAATTTTGCGAACATCTGATGGGCTCGGGAAATAATGAGGGCATATTCGGAATTGGCGCCCAAAAAAAACAAAAAAAATCATCTAAAAAAAGTTTACTTGCGTCCCTACACATTTTTAAATGTTCAGTAACATTAGTTTTCTGTCAACTGCTATTTCACTCATCCTTCCCTCTTACCAATGCATCTTAAGGAACCCCGTTATTCAAATTCACACTTCACAGTGCGCACGCTCCTTGTCACGTTTGCACATCCCGTCGCCCCACTTTGATCCACAACGATATGTTTTGTCCATGGCGGTGTGAATTGGGACTACCGCGGCTGCCAGGATCATAAAGTAAACGTAGCTCACCCAACGTCAGTGGAAAAGGCTTAGCGAAAGTGGTACTCAAGAACTGTAGAAAATGAATCGATTCATCTCAAAGTTAGACTCTTAATAATCCTTAATATAACTTTTGACTTTATGCGAATTGACATCATTTATGACTTTTTGGGCCCGTTGACCAAAGCACTTCTAACTGCTTATTGGCACGCAGTAGGACCACGAAACTCCCAAAAGTCAGAGGGAAAAAAAGTTTCAAATTGCATTTACAAGCTGCGCAAAGTGCATCTGAATCCATTTGTATCGCTGCCTGTCAGCGCTCTGATGCTTGTGCGTGTGTGTGTGTGTGTGTGTGTGTGTGTGTGTGTGTGTGTGTGTGTGTGTGTGTGTTTTGTGGGGTCCTGCAAGCAAGGCCCCTGGTATCCAGCGGAGGAATGCAGCGGTCTCTTGAAAAGTAGTTATCAGCTAATGAGAATTCCACTCGGAGCAGGAAGGAAGGGCTTAGAATGCGTGTCCCTCAGCGAATTGGGGCGAATGTTAATCACGATGCTTGCGTGCACGCACACACACACACACACACACACACACACACACACACACACACACACACACACACACACACACACACACACACACACACGCTTGCATGCAGTGCACACGGCAGCACGCAGAGATGTGCAGAGGTTGACACATGAATGGATGGACAAAGGCGGGGAAAAAAAAAAGCTCGGATGTTTTTTTTAAAAGTCGGTGTTGTTTGGAACTAATTGGTTTCAGATGAAAATCAGCGTACACAAACTTGAGAAGATACTTCTTCACGTGTTTCTTTTGTTCTTTCCTTCTGCTTTCCACTCATCCCCTCTCTGTTCTTCCATTTAGTCTGCCGTTCCTCTCCAGGCTCTTCCTGCCTTCCTGGCCACTTCATTCATCAAAAAGTGCAACATGAACGTCGATGCTCAGGACAGTAAAAAGTGATGGAAGGACTGACTCCTTTTCAAAGAGTGACTTCAAATGTTGTGACTTTAAGAGATCATCCATAATTCACAATTTTAGGAGCGCAGGACAGATGCTAAGCTGTCCATTTTCAAAAGTTTTTCACAGAAGGACTTGTTGCGCCCGGGTTGATTTAAATTATTTTTTAAACCATCCAGCTTCATTGGAGTTCTTTAATGAAGACTCTTTCAATTTCAGCTGGTCCTCGAAATGTTACCGTTTTTGGAAGGCAGTCAGAATTTTCCGACTCAATTTGACTTTTTTCAAAATTAGGGCGGCTTACCTGAGTCACGAATAAACTTCTTTCTGTTGAGAAATACAAATAAATAAACTGTAAGTAAATACAAGTGGCACCTGGACTTAATTTTATTTTGTTGTTTCCAAAAAATATGGATTTTGTGGGCTGGAATGGAGCAATGGAATGTCACTGAATCTCAATCGGGAATATAGATTTGATCGTCATTGAAACTCGCCAAGTCAGGGTACCACTGGACTTGACACCAGATGCTGGTGATGCAAAATTCCACCTTGTCTGGGTTCTTTGTGAAAAGCAAAATAGATAAGTGCTGCAATTTTGCGGGATCCCTGCTACCATCCACCCCTTGCCATCTCACTTTGTGTCCAGCGAAGGACACCGGGCCTCTGAAGAACACCCCTGTCCCTCAGGAAGACCCCCCCTCCCCACCCCCGTCCCTCAGTCTTCGCCCTGTTTTTTCATAAGCTATTATTTATGTCTGACGGACCTCCTCCAGACAAATGGCTGCCATATGGAGAAAAAGACAGCGAGGTAAACGGGGACGGAAGGCAGGAAATAAAGGAAACTCGCCGCACGTCGTCGTCAGACGTCGTCTGGCGAATTCTTCCGCGATGCTTCCAGGCACCGTGTGAGCTGTGTCAGAACTGATGTGCGTCAATGGAGATATCATTATTGTCTCCTTGGGATGAGCTACAGCTCCTGTGGGCTGTCAGCCACCACTTATACGCATCCCTGCAGCCCACAGCAGCACATGATCCTGCTTATGCGTGTCATATACTGAGTATATGCTGTGCCTTGAGTCCACGTCCACTGCATCATCCTGTGAGGGGTTTCAAAAAATGTTGACCTTCTTATATTGTTGAATAGGTGAGGGGAATTTATTTGTAAGTCAATAAATTTATATTTTATATACCAAAACTTGACTCACGCAAGTGACCTGACGTTCGAGGTTTTCTTTTGTTTTGTTTTGTTTTTTTTAGGTCGGAGCAGTTGTTGATTTT